ATATTTATTTTTCCATAGCTTATGGAGATATATTAGTGAAATGAACAGAATTTTTACGTTGAATGTGCTCTGCGCTTCTTCTGGTGAAAGTCCTCTTACTGCAGTATTTCTATTCTTCTCTTTTATGTATGCAATTTGCTGTGTTTCAAAACTCCTATTTATCACAGAATTGAATGCAAACTATAATAAAAAAATGTATCTATATTCATCCATTACTATGATACAATCTTATGCAAACTCTCTCTTCCTTCTCTGGGTCCACAGCTGAAAGACTGTGCTTTATTATTTATTCACCCTTAGTATCTGCTGTTCTTCCTATGAATCATGTTGACAATGAGCTAAATTCAAAATACATTTTGTCTTAACATGAGATTTTTTTTTTTTCTTTGGTCTCTTGGGCACAGATAGGGAGTATATAAGGAAACACAGATTTTAATTTGGTCATTTTTCTTTCTTTCTTTCTCCTGCTTAGTTTCTTAACTGGCCTATTGCAATCATGTTTGATTCACAGTTTTATTTCTTTGGTTTTGATCCACTCAGCTATTACCTGTTTCGACCTCTGTGCTGATCTTCACTTTCTTCTTTGTTCTTTTGGCCTTTCAATACCTTTTCACATTGACACTCGTGTTGCTTCCTTGTGCATCCCTTGATTCAGAGGAATGATGCACATCTTCTTTGTCTCACAAGTTCTAAAACAAATAGCTTCTCTTATCTGTTGGCACCAACACATGCACACTTTGCTTTAAAATAGATTCCAAAACAAAGCAAATGATAATTCACAAAACAAAATTTAAGCATAATGTATAATTACCCCCTGAACAATTATTATGACCTTATTCACCCATTGTTACAAAACCTGCCTCGAGCAATTTGTCTGATCTGTATTAAAATGGAAATTTAATTCTAATTACAGTAAAGATTTACTGCAATAACTAAAGATTAAAAATGCATGTGATGTTGAGTGAAAATAGATAATATTCTCCTAAATAGAACAACAGAATATTCATAATAATTAAAAATATATATAATATATATCCATGCTTATATTTTGCATACTATTTTCGTCACATGGGTTTTTATACTTCCTGACCATAGCATTTTTCAATTGCCAAGGCAAATTGCTTGCTCTTTCTTGCTCCACTTCTAAAATGTGAATGTCATTTACATTTGTCATGTTATAAGAATTAGAGCTACTAAATCAAGGATAAATTACTGTCCATTACCCTGATTACAACCTCATTTATATCAATATAATTCCATTGAAAATGATTAGTCCCAATATGTGTTAATTTCTCCTAAGTTCCCTAAAAACAAAACAAAACAAACAAGAAAAAAAACAACACTTCTTTAGGTCTTGGAAAACTCCCCTGATATTATTCATTAAGCTTTAGTGAGTGGTTTAGTGTAGAAGTGATTTCTTGTATTTCTGCTGATATCTGTTCGTTTACTTGCATTGTTGCAATATCAGGAAAGCACCAACACAAATCCATAGCCAAAGTATGGTCCATCCAAAGAAAAAAAAGATTGAACTCCTCATCAACCTCAAGTTCTAGGTATGACTGAAAAAGTATAACCATTTGAACTTATAGTGTTAGAGTTTCTACCTGTACCAGGTGTGACTATCTCTCAAAATATAAATAAAATAACCTCTGAAGACAGGCAAGATTCCAGTTTCATCACCGCTGTTTTGGTGAGCACTTCTGGTGTAACCATCTGCCTTTTATGTAGACATGTTTCATAGAATCAATATAGAATCATAGGATGGCCTGGGTTGAAAAGGACCTCAAAGATCATCCAGTTTAAACCCCCTGCCATGTGCGGGGTCGCCAACCACTAGACCAGGCTGCCTAGAGCCACATCCAGCCTGGCCTTGCCTACACAACCTCCTTGGGCAACCTGTTCCAGTGTGTCACCACCCCTCTGTGGAAAAACTTCCTTGTAATATCTAACCTAAACCTCCCCTGTCTTAGTTTTAACCCATTCCCCATTGTCCTATCACTGTCCACCCTTGCAAACAGTCATTCCCCCTCCTGTTTATATGCTCCTTTCAAATATTGGAAAGCCACAATGAGGTCTCCCCAGAGCCTTCTCCAAGCTAAACAAGGCCTTCTGTCATCTTCTCATAGGAGCGTTGTTCCAGCCCTCTGATCATCTTGGTGGTCCTCCTCTGGACCTGCTCCAAGAGCTCCACATCCTTCCTGTACTGGGGGTCCCAGGCCTGGACACAATACTCTAGATGGGCTTTGCAAGAGCAGGACAATTGCCTCCCTCTGCCTGCTGGCCACCCCTTTTTTAATGCAGCCCAGAACATAGTATTTAATTGGTTATTTTCTAGCAAATGCCAATAGTCTGTCTGAATTAATTCCAAGCAGTCCCCTAGTAGAATAGCATAAATCTGTAGGCTGTTGGCCTACCATATAAAATGAAATCGGACAATATAGCCAAACTGCAGCACATCTGAAAACATAATTGTTATTAATCTCCTGTCTTGGTAATTGCTTCAGTTAGTCATATGACAAATAGTCAGTCATTCACTATATTCCAGCTAACCTACTGCTGCCTTCTGCTTTGGCAATCAACCATTTATCTCTGCTTTGCCTAAGGAAATGTGATTTGTAAATTCTTGGTGTAACTAGATAACCCTGACCTTTGTCATCAGTTTCTGATACAGATACATCCTCAAAGAAACAAATTGAATTTTCTTTTTCTACTTCAGCATGATATTATAAAAGCTTTGTAATTCTTCAGTCTCTTCTATGTATTTATAATGCACATTTGCAAATGTTGTTTGAAGAATATTATTAATATTGCTAAGTTAAGCATGAAAAATGACACAAACTGCTGCTCAGTTTATAGTAGAGCAATCTTCTTTGGCCATTTTATGTCTGAGCATTATGATGCCATCTTTAACTGCACATTAACACCATTTCTTCACAGGGGCTGTGCTGTAGTCAGGAGAAATATGGGTGGTGCTTTTTATGTTGTTTTTTTTTTCTTTCACTTCTAAGGGTTTGAGATAGGGCCTTCTAAGTTACTGTCAGATGTCCATCAGTCTGTTGGCTTGCTTTTGAGTGTGTGTTGCCTAACTAAATATGAATACATTTTTCACAGAAGCCTAGGGGCTGTGTTACCCCAGGGTTGCAGATTGAACCCCTCCAGATGCTGACTGTAAAGGAAGAAATGATATTCCTAATGAGCCAAGGCTCCAGCCCTGTGTAGGGCTGATGTTATTGTAGATGCCGTACTGATGCACAAACTTACAGTGAGAAGGTGACTGGGAGCAGCTTTGGAAGCAATGTTGATCAGGGCAGCAGTGTGTAATTCTATGTCTTGAGACTCCTTTCTCTTCCTGTAGACTTCAGACAGATTTATGGTGCAGCTTTCTTTCTCTGCGGCAAAAATGAGCAAAGATTCTACAGAGAACAGGCTCAAATGCCATACTCATCCCAGGCATTAGGCATTGTGCAGGCTATGTGATCATTTAATTAGAGACTGCATAAATATGCTCAAGAGGAAATTCAGGCATCACAGTCTCAGTCCTGGCATTACAAAACTTAAATGCCAGAAAATAAAGCATTTTTTTTAAATGTTCTACTTTTTTTTCCATGTGTCATTGGCTGTTTTATCAGGCATGTTAGATTAAAAAAAAAATGGGATCACAGACATCTACAGGTCATCAGCAGAGCAGTAACTGCTATGTTAACTACCAACTCAGGATGACAAGCCAGCTTATATCAGCAGAGTGGCTGTCATCCTTTACATGGGCCATTTCTAGCTCTGTTTCGAAGACAATTGAAAATAGCAGAATAACAGCCAGACCTCGGCAGTTGTATCTCACCTTAAAATCTTTCAGATTTTCCTATTCAGGCTGTGCAGTGCCCTGCCTTGGGGGTGCAGGGTGACTAATGTTTTCTTCAGCTGTTGCGCATAGTCAGCATTCCAGATGCTTGTCTGAAATCCAGTGAGTCATTTGCAGCATCACCATCTTTGCTACTTACAAATCCACAAATCTATTTATGCTGTACACTGCAGTACAGCACATGCATAAATCAGTTACGTATATGTGTATATGCACAGGTACTACAAGTATCCAGGTGGCAGCAGCACGGAGCTCACATGGGTTAATTTTTCTTGCCAACAATTCTCTTTATAAGCTGGTCTGCTCCTGCTGCCGCGTTCTATACTTGGCTGCACCTGCTCAGATCCACATACCCAGTGCTGTGATGACAACTGTCGTCAGTGATTTTGTATCTCACAGGGACTCTTTGATCAAGAAAAGACTGTATTTATCGTTGGCAGCCAATGCTTACAGTAAGCATGTTTTAAAATCAAATTCTTGTTTAATGAAGGGGAACACTGTGTTTGTCTTTTGATATTCTGAACCTGGATTTATCACTGCTTAGAGTACATGACAAGCTTTGAAAAATGAAACTGCTATGGCTTTCCTTTCTGTGGTACTGATACTGGGACTGCAAATATTATGAAGTTATCCCTGGAGGAGTTAGAGTTCTTGTAGTAAAGGCAATACTTTTGAATCTTTAAAATTCTGCATGTATTCTCCATTTATTTGGAGGAGAGTATATGGTTCTAACTAAGCCACGCTCATAGTGATATATCTGAAATGAAATAATTTATCCAAGCATTTTTGAAGTCAGAAAAATTATAAAGAGAAAAAAGAACCTCAGAGAACCCTGCACTGATAAACCTTTAACTGAAAGTGGCATATCCAGAAAGTAAGTAAATAAGAACCAAAAGTGCAAGGAAAGGGGAATGTTAAGAAAATAGAAATGTTGGTGGCTCTGTCTTCCAGTTTAGAAGAAAATACATCACAGTGACTCAAGCCTGACACCAAAGAGATTTCCCTTAAAATTTGCAGTAAAAAAATAGCTGATAATGGTGGTCTCTGGACTTCCAAAGATCTGCTTTTTCCTTCTTTTTTTCCTTCCTTCTGCTGAAGTTTTTACAATAAAATTATACCAATAAGAGCTGTTCTTTTTCAGTCAGATGCTATTGACATGAGCATAGACCCATCTAGGGCTTCCTGGGATGACGATGCTACTCTTTTCCTAATGCAGGTAATCTCATATACTATCCTTTAATTTAGAAATGTATTAGTCTTCTCTTGAAATAATTTAGGTTTTTTTTTTTTTTTTAACATTACCATTACTCCCACTGAAAAATGTATCTGCTATCCGTTTACACTACTTTACAATTCTTATTAAAAAGTGTCTTTCAGGTTATGCCTCTTCCTCCAAAACATCATTTAATGCCTGAGTTTTGTGTAGCCATTTTCTCTCACAACCTTCCTTTTTGAAGACTAAACACTCAAGGACAGGCTCTGTTCTCTTTATTATCTGAGTAGCCATGTTTCTATTTGAATTAATCTTTCCTGAACAGTACAGAGTGTACGCTGTGTTTGAGATGAAAATTCAGCATTTAAAAAAAAACCATTAATATTCAGGTATCTTTGCTAGGAACACCTCCTTCTTGTATTCTGCACGATCCTTGCCTTTTTCACAGCTGTGCACATTTTGTCTCAGTTTCAGTAGCTGACAATTTTCTGACAGTCTTCTGTGACTGACTTAAGTGCTTTTTTTTCTTCTGATATTTCCAGCTCTCAGCATACCACAAAGCTTCCTCTTGTTACTCCCCAGTAGTGTTATGTAGCATTCACACTGCCTCATTTAATTCCAATTTATTAATCTATTCCTTAAGGACAACCATATTTTCCTAGAGTCCAGTCACTCTCAGGGTCAATGACCTAGAATGCTGTTACTGCCAGAAAGCAGAACCAGAATGCTGAATCTGATTTCAAAATAATCAGTTTGAGTCTATTTTTGAAATCAGAATAAGGCCCAAACCTCCTTCAGAAGGTCTTCCTGAATTTAACCACAAGTGAGCTTCTCGTTCTTAATGCTTCTACTTCAGGGCTCTGCTAAGAACTGGAAGCATTAACCAGAAGCCTGGTCAGTTTAGGAGCAGTTGGAACATCTTAGATACAAAGAGTATGATCACCCTCCAACCCATCCTTTTGCTGCTGGGGGACTTCAACCAGCAAAAGCTCTGTTTTGTACCCTGGTGCTCCCCTGTGCTGCTCTGCAGGTGCCAGCACGACCACTGCGTCTTGTGACTTTCTGTGCTTAGCTGAGATGAGCTCTATGTAATGTCTACCTGGAAGACACAGGCTGGCCATTGCTGTGAGTTCTTTTCTGCTAGCAGTGCTCTGCATAAAGCTTCTGGGCCCCGTCAGCCTGAAGCTGCCTGGCAGTCCCCACCTATTTCATCTTTCACCAGTATTGGCTGATTTCTCCACCTCTTTGTATGTGTACTCTTGAGATACGTGCACATACATACGAGCTCAGTACCCAGTGAACACAGGAGCAAGTTCACAAGGGGAGGAACATCCAGCTCCTGCTCCAGCTCCCCTGCATCTAGCAGATGGCATTCATTCCTGCAGTTATGTGCAGCATCACGTGTTCATTCCAGCTCCTCAGTTCTATCGACTCGTGTTGGCAGGGGAGGCTGGGATGCCTAAGCTCTGACAGCAAGGACACTTTGCTCATTCTTTAAATACAGTACACATTTTTCCCAATTCCCATCTTTAATATTTAAAATTAACCTTACCACGTCTTAGAAATTTCTTTTATAAGCATAAAGGTGCAATTATAATTTCAGCTTCATTTTTAAATGCTTACTTTTCATCTTCTACTTTGAAGGTGGATTATACATAAAGAAAAATGATTTAATAGAATTTTTTTCATTTGTGTCATTGTGGAAAACACAGGAGCCACTTTTTTATCCTCCTGAGAATTCTGACTGTAATCACATAATTAGGTGGTTATAAAAAAAAGAAAAGCTTCAAGATAGAAAGAGGTATACTTGGTTTTACGTACCTCCTCCAAGTAAGTTCTGGTCTGAAATTACGCAGGACACAGCAATGAAATATGGTAGAAATTATGTGAGTACTTGGGTTAGTCATTTGTATGTCAGTGCCATTAAACATTTAAGTGCTTCTTCATATCTACAGATATGGTATTAAATATTATAAAGCCTGTGAAAGTATTTTACATGGCCTTTTTGGTGCATTACATATGACAGGAAGGTGATAGTAAATCCTTGCTTTTCATGAAAAATAATTATGGGGACATGACATGTCCTAATATGTAAAAACAAATACAACAATACAACAACACAACAAAATGGATGTTCCCTGGTTATTTCTGTTCTAATAGTAAAACAGTGCTAAAGTTGGTAAACACTGACTGGTATTTTTGCTTCGACCAGCTCTTTTGGAGCACTCAAGCAACCAATAGAACACCTAACTTTAAAAGAGACATTTGTAAGTTTAATAAGCATTTTTGCTCATATAATTTTAGCTTTATTTTCTCTCCTCACAGGGGTGAAGATCTGTATGCCTTGGTTGTTATTGCCATATTTATTGACAAAAAAAAATCTCAAAACATGGTATAAAAACACACCAAGGGAGAAATTATAGTAATTGACACAACAGATGGATAGACAGTGTTGTAGTTACCTGCTGCCAAAGTCAATCCAAATAATATGGCTGTACAACACTATGAGCTGCAAGGGAGAGATGAAATAAGTTGATCTGTTAGTTGACCTAATGGAATCTCCTTTTCTGACTAAAGAAATGGAGGCACCCTTTATGTTAGGCTCTTCTGTCTAGCAGCAATTATTAGAAAACTTGTAAAACTTACTGAGTTTGAGATCTCTGCCCATCTCTGGCCAGCTGTTTCCATCTATGTAAGGGAGCTTGTAACTTAGATACGGGGTAGCTACAGAAACCTTGTTTCCTCAGGATAGCTGCTTAAAAAGGAAGGGTATTCACTGAAAATGAAATAGTTTAAGTCAAAGATTTTGTTTGAGTTTGAATATCTACATGCGGGGTTAGGCATGAATTGGGCACACGCTGCATCCTTAAAGCTTTCTGTGGCTGATGGACCTGGGCAGGATGACCTCCTGGGACAGACAATGGTAGCGGTCCTGGTCTTAAAGTGCTCTAACAGAAGGTATGAAATTTCACGCAGAGAACAAGTCAGTCTCCAACACCTCCTCAACAAGAACAGCTCTTCAGGGAACTGTGTGGTGAATGACATTCTTCCCAATCCAAATAACTCAACTGCCTATGTTTCCACTGAAAAACATAGTTTGCCTCTTTTCAATGCTCTTAACCATCTCAAGTTGTCCTGCTTTTCCGTGTATTATTTTATTTTTTTGCTTTACATCCATTGTCTTCAGTAGCGGATGTAGACGATTTCTATAATCCATCACAAAGTGGAATGGATCACGGCATGGCTCATCTTCCAGCTGAGGACCTGCGCTGCAACTTTCGTTAGCAAATGCAACTTGTCCAGCAGCGGGGCGTTGCAGTTTGGGCTCCGGACAGAAGAGGGGGCCCTTCGGATGGCCAGATGGAAAAGCTCAGCCAGATGTGGTCCAGCTGCGGCTCCAGAGTGCCTCCTGCCGCAGGGCCCTGTGCTGCCGACGCAGTATGGAGAGAGCTGGGGGCTCGCTGGGCAGAGGAATCTCGAGCACGGCGTGCTCAGAAGGAGATATGCGCTTAATATTTCTGCTCCACTCCGAAGGTGGCTGAGAGAGTACAGAAGCAATGCCGGATATTTGCTCCAGAGCCTCTGTGCTGTTTGAATCTGCACTTTGGAAGGTTGTGGCTTATTTGGTCAAGGTTGTATCTTGTAAACCACCTGAGGAACATGTTCCATGCAAGGTTGCCTGCATGCAAATGTGTTGTTTGACACAAACTGCTGGATTCCCTGACGTCTCTACTTCTACCTCGGGTAAATTTGTATCGGCTGCACTGAACAAGTAAAAATGCTTCCACACTGTAAAGCACTCCCATAACATTGATTCAAGATTGATCACTTGCATGAGGTAGTTCAGAGAGTAGTTACAGCTGTGCAAAACCTTTTATTCAGGGTTAGAATTTGACCTAGCGTGATAACCAGGCAATAAAATAGGAGTTGGCTGTCAAATTCAGGAGAAATAAGGCATCACCAGGGCTTAAAGATCTGCTTCACAACGTTTCTATCAAATAAGTCACATCTCCTGAGTGGATATTTCCACAATTTTTGACAAGGAAGAAAGAAAATATTGCCTTTGCCTAGATCTTATGAAGTGAAATAAAGCTGCAATGATTGCTAGCCAAGCACATCTAAACACAGAATTAATGCAAGCACACAGTGTGCAGAGATGTTTTTAAATCTTGATTTACAGTCTGTGTTTTGTAAATTAACAGAATCCTCACAACCCTCACATGATCTTCATCAGATAATTTTGTGTTTGAAACATGTGCCATATGTTTGAAACTGACCCTAATGCTTCTGAAGGAATAAGTGGTTGGTGTTTTCAGGATGCAGCCTGGAATCCAGTGCCGGCTGGTGAGTCATTAAATAAGGAGAATAGCATTTACAGGACGTAATACAATATATCAGTTTAGCAGAACTGAAATTTAACTTTCTCAAATGCCACTTCAGATAAACAGAACATAGTCTTTCTCCACTGGAACTGGACCAGGTGCAGAATAAGCTGCTATAATTATGCCTGCCCTACCATGAAGACCATTGCAAGTATTTTAATCTTTCTTAATTTTTACATTACATTATGAAAACTTCATTGAAAAATACATTTCAACTGTAAAACTGTTTGAAGTATGAAATTTAAAGTGTGTCTTGAATAAATGTTGCACATCTTCATTCTGATTTGGTGAAAACCATAAGTAGGAGATATCAGAATTTATAGTGTTGTGCTATTTTATTGTTACTGAATGTGATAGAAACACACTAGGATAGGGTCTAGAGGCCAAGTTTGCCCAAATGTATGAGGTCAACTCTGAGACTATTATAGGCTCTGGAAGAACAATTACAGAGGCTATAAAAGTATTCGATCCTTGGAAAAGAAGTACTGGCTTGTATAGGAGTAATAGGATAAAGCAAACACTGTCTTGTGGCTATAAATTCAGCTTCATAAGGATCAATTTCCTTTGCCCGTCCATGTACAGTTAACAACAAAAAGAATCAGAGAAGCGCGAAGTAATTTTTTCTTTCACATGTGACATAGAAAACAAAAAAGAACAAGAAAATGGGACGCTTGACTGCTTGTGTTCCTCATGTTTATTTTCTCCAAATACTCCAAATGCTCATGATTACTGTCTTCTACTATGGAAACTGATGAAGAAATCAGATACGTATTTGCTGCAGTTTCAGAAACATAATATAAATCTACTTGTTTAGTTTGTCTTGTTCAACAGAAATTACAAGGCGTCCTGACAGCAAAATAGACTAATAATCATAACAAATCTAATTCATCTCTGTTCTACTTTGAACTAGAATGAACTTTCTCTGCAAGACAAGGGAACAACTCACAGATCTGTTATTCTGGAAGAATTATAAGCAAAATCAATACACGTTGCTCATGACACACATCAGTGGGTTGTCATAACAGTGATTATGAGTTCTCCATCAGTAGACAGAGTGAATGCTCAGGCTACTCTGAAAGTTTTTGTTACTTGACAAAACAAAAGTCAGTTTTCTGGCCTACCTCATCCTATCTTTTTGTTTAAGTAAATGTAGAAAAAGCTTGCAATCAACATTATGGACCTTGCTGCTCACTTGCCATTTACTAATGCGGTGGTGTCAAGCTAATAGATTTTTCAGTGAATGGCCAGAAATAAAAGTAGCCTCTATTGAGTCTGTTTACTTTGGTCATGACTTCCTATTTATTGCTTTCAGCAGAGAAAGAAGCTCAGAAAACTAATGTCCAGTAACATATGACAATTCATATCTTTACAATTTCAGTATTTTTCCTGGGGAAAAGAGGAGACGTAGACACACAACAATCAGCACAGTATCCTCTAGCTAATGAAGGACTGAACACTACAATAAAGCTTTGAAAAGAAAGGTTGGAGGTATCTAAACTGAAAGGAAAATCTGGGAAAACTTTCACTTCAGATTTCCTTGAAAAAAAAACAAAAAACAGAGACATGATGCAGCAAAGCTGAGGGAGATTTTAAAAGCAGGAGGAAAATATTAGAATAGAAATACCAGTCTAATAGGATTTGAGAAAACCATCCAATGGAAATAGCAAAAATGAGAAAAGTTATCATGTTAGTTTTGAACTACCAAGGATCTGCAGTGTGCAAGAAATCTGTGAGAAAACAAAAAGCCATTATATGGGAGAATCATAGTTTACATTACGTCTCAGTAGTGTCTGAAGGAGAAATGAGCCATCCATTCCAGTGGATGATAAATAAGAAATTTTTATCACTCTATGTATTTATTACCTGAGCAACTTGGACACGTATTATCATGTCCACCTGTAACCGTATGCTTTGTATTACTCCTTCTGGTGCAGGATGCACCAAAGGAATAAGAGGATGAGCATCCAGCCAAGTCTGCAGAATCACCTGCATGAGCTAGAACCAGAGCTATGACATCCTCTATTCTGTGATCCTAAAGAATTTGTTAGGAGGAATTAGTTCTATGTCAGCTCATCAGGTTGTTTCTTAGTTACTTGGCTATTTATTTCCTGACTGTATAATTAGTGAATTCTAAGATGTCAGTTACTTCTTTACTGCTGTTCTTCTACACAGTGGGACTGTGCTTGCCTTTCTGGACAGGGGAATACATGGTACTGCAGTGCTGACTCTGCACATGAAGGATTTAGACCACTTAGAGCAAAGAAACAGTGTTCTTTGCTGTGTGTGCACAAGGAGTTTGCTTCAGTACTGGTACTGCCAGTGGCATGGGTAAGAACATAAGGCTGCCTACTTCTCTTAGTGTAGTCTCTTCCTACTTAGTGAATAAACTTCTTACATTTCTCCTTCTTTCTACTTGGGTAGACAACTTATAGTCACATCTAAAATCTAATAGATTAGCAGAACACAGGTGATGCTTTCAATCTGGCTTCCTACTGTATGTGTCATTCTTTAGCTTCAGTATCTTTTAGCCAATGTTTAAACAAAATTGGTAAGAGGGTAGATGAAAGGTGTCCAGCCCGTTGGCTTCTGTTGCACTGAATGAAGAGGAATTGTCTCAGGCCAAATATACATAGGTTGCTCTGAAAGTAATGCCTCGTATTTATTTCCATGGAAACTACAAAAGATAGAAAGTGCCCAGCAACACTTTTTGATAGCACAAATTCTCGGCTGCAAAACACTATTTTTCAGCATAGTCACCATCATTAGCTATGCATTTTCGTCAGTGATGAACAAGAGCCCACATTCCATGCTCATCTGCACCTGTAGAAGTGACCCACCATTGTCACTGTTGAAGGACACCAACCACCAACTCACTGTGCTGACATCCAGTGTTTGGTCTCCATAAACAATCAGCAAGAGTTGATACAAGCTGCAGCCCCAGCATGTCCACAGCCACGGAGCAGTTCTGATGGCAGAGACCAGGCGGGGCAGAGTCTGGTGATCTCCAGGCACATCTGAAGGGATGAAGCCTTCAAGTTGGCATGCCAAATCAGCAAGGCAGGGATGGGATCAGCAAAGCATACAACCAGGAACCGGCATATCTGCGAGGTGACTCGGGCAAGGACTGATAGCAAGGGCCTGGGCCTGGGGGAAGATAGCACAGTTTGTGGCTCTTTGTCGCGCTTTGCTCTTCAAAGCAGCCTGATCCCAATTCCACCGTATCAAAGTGACCTCTAGGAGCAGCAGCCAGAACAAAGGGGAGGAGGCTGGAACCTGTCTGTACATGCAGGTCCTGATACCATGCAGTGAAGTATTTGTGGGATGTACAGCGCTTTTGTGTTTTTGTTTTTTACATTCAGAGTAGGGCTCTTAAATCTGTTACTTCTGAGCAAGAAAAAAATTGCAATGAATTAAGCTAATTCTCATTTATTCAAAACCCAGCAATCCAGCTGTGGCTTCTCATATGCAGATTGACTTGGCTCCTATCCTAGTTTTAAGACTTTTACCACATTTAGCAATAACCTTCCATACCTAGCTTTGTCTGCAGCTCCTCATGTGGCAACCAGTTGTTTATAAGACAAAGACCATCTGGTTATCAGAAAAACTAGTGAGATTACGGAAAGAAATACAACCACCAAAGCCACAGAATTATAAGGTGGGTGGGTTGCTTGTGACCACCCCCATCCACAGACAGCAGGCTTTTGTGGGGCACCTCCAAGTAATCATCTGCAATCAGCATGCTGGCTGAGTGATACGTGGAGCAGGGCCTTAGGAAACTAAATGTCCTTGTGTAGGGAAGTTCTGAGTCATATTCTGTGATTCTGTGATATGTATGGGAGCTGTTGATCACGGCCTGAGCCTCTGATTGACCACCTGAGGCAAGCACTGAGTCAGCCATGGAGCACAGGTGAAGGTGATTCAGCTGTGTGACTGGAAGGGGTGGAGCCTGGCTGCACCTCTCCTAGACCCCATTTAAGGGCTGACTGCCACTGGGAAGGGTCTCTTTCTGGATCTCCCTTCTTATGGAGTTTTCTACTGTAAGCTCAGGACATGGGTGAGCTTTTCATTTTTGATTGTCTCTTTCTACCACAATGATCTTTCCACCAAAAGCCTGTAAAATACCGTTCTATTCACACAGAATCACAGAATCACCCGGGTTGGAAGGGACCTCAAGGATCATGTAGTTCCAACCCCCCTGCCTAGCAGGGCCACCAAACATACACATTCAGATCAGGTTGCCCAGGACCCCGTCCAACCTGGCCTTAAACACGTCCAAGGACAGGGCATCCACAACCTCCCTGGGCAGCCCGTTCCAGGGCCTAACCACTCTCCTTGTAAAGAACTTCCCCCTAACATCCAACCTAAATCTTCCCTCCTTCAACTTGGATCCATTTCCCCTAGTCCTGCTGTTGTCAGCCCTTTTGAAGAGTTTACTCCCCTCCTGGGTGTAGGTTCCCTTCAGGTATTGATAGGCTGCAATGAGGTCACCCCGCAGCCTTCTCTTCTCCAGGCTGAACAAGCCCAACTCCCTCAGCCTGTCCTCATAGGGGAGGTGCTCCAGCCCCCTGATCATCTTAGTCTCTCACTCTTCTAACTGTACATTTGTTAATTGTACAGTCATATATTCACAGAAGTTTTTGAAATTTAACATTAGTGGGAAGAAAGACATTTTGTG